CCCCAAATGAGAAGCAAATGTCTAAATTGAGGAACACAATGACAGTAGAATTCATAAACTGGCACACTGATCCAATGGGGTAGTTATTACCTGTTGACAAAAGTGAAGGACTATTAGGACACGAGACAAAGATGAATCTTACAACACTTGAGAGAAGCAGATACAACTCCCCACCCCTAATTCCATGTAAACATTTTAGACTATAGTATTATTTATTAATAAATAACAATTGCTAAGTACCAAATTCTTACCATATGGCCAATGCTATTCTAAGTAATTTGTGTGCTTAACTCAATTTTCACAACAACCGTCTAAGTTAGATGCCATACAGTATCCCAAATGTGCAAATTTAGTCACAAAGAGGTAAAGTAACTTGCCCAAGCCCACAGAGCAACTAAGTGCTAGAGCTGGGAGGTGAAGGCAGACAGCCTGGCATGAGAGTATGTATTCTAAACACTATGCCACACTGGAGCTTGGTCACAGATCGTCAATGGAAAGATGGAGAGGTACATGTGCAGGGGCTGGGGGAGGTGGGGGTGGCTAAATTCCTACTTTGCAAAAATTAAGGAGTAAAAACGAAAGTATCAGTAGATAATGCCTAAAATTGGTGGTGGGGGGGAGGAAGACAAGGGGTCAAGAACTACCAGTGTAAGCATGCTGTGAAAAAAATCTGGAGAAAAGATCAGAAAAAATAGCTAATGCCACAGCAATGTGGCTGCCTCTAGGAAATGGGTCAGAGTGGACCAGGGACTGCTACATTTAACTTAGACGCTCTATAACATTATTTCATCTTTAAAAAACCAAATACACAGGCCAGGTGTGATGGTGCACACCTGTAATCACAGCAATGGGGAGGCTGAGGCAGGAGGGTTACTTAGAGTTTGAGGCCAGGATGGGAGACATAGTGAGTTCAAGGCCAGCCTGAACTGCATAGTGAGACTCTGTCAAGAAGAAAAAACATTTTTTAAAAAATTAAATATTTAAAAAAGAATAGCTACCATTTATTGAACCCCAGTGTCCCTGGCAGTTTGCAAAGTATTTTAAATTAATTTTCTCAAGGAATTCCAGCAGTATGGACCACATTCTATGGTGCACACCTGTAATCCAGCACTCGGGAGGCTGAGGCAGGAGGACTTCTGGGAGTTCAAGGCCAGCCTGGGTTATATAGTGAATTCAAGGCCAGCCTGAACCTTGTCTCAACAACAACAACACAACAAAACAAAACAAACAAAAAGAGGGCTAGGGATGTAGCTCAGTGCAAAACCAAAACCAAAACCAAACCAGATTAAGAATTCACCTGCCTAGGGCTCAGTGGTAAGCACGCATCAGAAGTGCACTACAATGAGATTCTAGGGTCCTTGTCTCCTGAGAGCATGGATGATAAAGGCCTAAATGTCAATGGCAGCAAGTGACGTGGTGGGATGTTTAGGAGGCAGTCTGGACAGGAGCTAATGACTTGCCACTGGCTGGGAGGAGGCAACACAACTTAGGAGGAGACTTGAGGAGGATGCCCAGGTTGCTGATCTGAGTGAATGAGGACACGCTGTTTGTCTTCCCTACCACAGGGTCCACAGGAAGAGTTGAGGTCCAAGGCTCCTATGGTTTATTCAGAAGTGCAGTCACAAATACTGCAGAGTCCTAGGGACTGTGGGCCACCTGTGGGCACAGGAGCTGTGGTGAGTGGAATCTACAGGTCTCAGGAGAGAATTTGGTCCTGCTGGTGTGGGGCTCGTGCACATGCAGAGCAGTGACTGTCAACCACTCCTTTTCCCTGTGAGGTCCCACTACTAATGCCAAGTCACTACAAGGGTGATCTGAAAGCGGTAACTTCCTCCATACGTATGTATTGTGAGGTCAACAGGGATGGAATCACAGCATGGGATTAAGATATCACTCACTCCCACCAACATTTACCGCATATTTCCTGTGCCCGTTCTGTGTGGAGTCACTGAACTCTTCCAGCAACCCTATGAGGCGGGGACAAGCAGGACCTCCCTACCACCAAGAGTAGTTCAGCCGCTTTCATGAAAGCTCCCCGTTAGTGCTGGGCTGAGACCTGATTTAAGTTCAGACAGGACGGTTCTCCGAGGCATGGGCTCTTTCCCACTACACACAGTTGGGCCATTAGGGAAGAACACAAATTTAGAAGGATTGAGGGATTTAGGAGTGGAAGACAGTTCTGCAGGGGACTAGGTCCAAGTCATGGGTTGGTGATATGGTCCAGGACCCACGGAAAAGAGCTGAAGAAGTCAATTTCAGATTATCTCAGTAAAGGTGAGCTGTGAGAGGGGAGAAGAGTATTCAGGAGAAATGAGAGAAGCCAGGAGAAATGAGAGAAGCCAGAAAAAAGCTCGGGGAAGACTAACACTGAGCTCAGCAACAGAAGACATGACATGAGTGAGAGACCAGGGCACAGGTGGAGGGGAGGAGCTGGGGGAGGCGGGGATTTCCCTTGCAGAAGCTGGGGGCATGTCTGTGACATCGGGCCCTTGCCCATCTCCAGGGCTCTGCGGCCTGTTGCTGGCTGCCTCACCAGCCTCCTTGGCTACCCCTTATTCATGCTGTGTCCTCTAGTCACTCCAGCCTTCTGACTCCCTTCAACTCGCCCTACCCTCCCACCACATGGTCCCTCTGTCCCCCATGCTTGTTCCAGCTCTTCTACTCACCACCACCAACTGGAACACTTCTGTTGTTCAAATAACTGTTTTCTCAAACTTTTTAATTGAAATACAATCCACTTATCTTTCAAAACTTAAATTTCAGTCCTTCTAAGGGACCCTCTCTTATCCCTGTTATCAGTCACCCCCAGGACAAGGCTAGACCCCCAGCTCCATGGTCTCATAGCATGTCACATTTCTCCTTTGTAGCACAGAAAATGGCTAATCAGCCATCATTCCTGTATATCAGTTACAGAATATATCTTGATCTTTACCTACAGGTAAGATCCGTAAGGGTAGGAACTGAGTTTGTCTAAATCAGAGGTCAGCAAACTTGTTTGAAAAGTGCCAGATAGTAAACATTTTTTTACGACTATTCAATTTGGTCATGATAGCCTGGAAACAACCAAGACTATAATATATAGACAAATGGTTGCAACTGTTTCAATAAAGCTTTATTAACAAACCAGGAGGGAGAACAAAAGGTCATAGTTTACTGACACCTCATCTAAATCACAAGCACCCAAGCTGGCATCTGACACAGTTGGTACTCAATGAATGACGCTTAAAGAAAGAGCTGTTGGGTTTGGTGATGGATCGTCAGTGGTACCAAGGGAATGTGGTTTTAGTGGCATGGTGGAGTAGGACTGGGACGACAGTACTGTGGAACACACAACATTAACAAAGTTTGTTTCAGGAGGTACATGCTTTGTGGTGCAGGGTTGGGGAATGGTGTTCTTGAAGTTGAGGGGGCTGGAGAGGGAACATGTTTGCAGGCTATGTCAACAAGGTAGGGTGGGGGGGTGATGAAGAAGTAGGCTTCAGAACTCCAGGGTGGCACTGGTCATAAGGGAGGAGGCTACCTTCTGAGGCCACAGAAAAAAGGAAAGAGAGCAGGAAGAAATGAGGAGAAAGTCTTGCATTCTTCTTTCCTGTGAGATGTGAGCCATCACACTCTGCTGGAGAAGAGACTAGAGGCAGCTGAGGACCACAAGCATGTGACATATTGGGAACTACTGACACCATGGAAGAATGGAAGCCCACTATGGCTTATGGAGATCCATGAAGCTACACTCTTCATTTTTCTCTCTCTTCATTTGAGACTAACCAAGGTGTCATCTAAGTATCTTGTGGGTTCTGGATTTTCAGATCTGACTCAGTGTGAAGTATGTCACTTTGAATCACCATATTTAAATCGCTACTTGCTGCCACTTCCTATCACTTTACTTTCTCACGAATGTAGGGGCAGGCAGAGCATGAGGAGGGTGAGGTCATGCTTTAACTATGTGCACATACCCAGCTGTTTTGTTTGTTTGTTTGTGACAGGGTTTCACTATGTAGCCCAGGCTGGCCTCAAAACAGCAATCCTCTTGCCTCAGCCTCCTCCTGAGTGCTGGGATTATAGGCCTGTGCCAGTTCTTTCTTGAAGGATATTGAAAGACCTTTTACTTGCAGAAATAATTATAGGTTTCATCCCTGTAACCTCAAATGTGTATGAAACCCACAGAGTCTGACAAAGCAGATATCAAAAATATTAAGCACATAAACTAACAACAGGAATTTACAATTTTTCAGGGGATGATCCTATAGGAGTTTCCCTCTTGTAGGCTGTAAAGTATTTCTTTATGAGGCAGAGAATGATCTGTCTAGAGCACAAAGCCATATTTTATCCTGACAATGGATAATACAGAACTATTCTTTTAATGGAGGAAACCATTTGAGTGGTGGGGATTTGACAGTAAGAACAGAACATAGCAGTTATTTAGTTCTACAGGCTGAACGTAGTGTTAAAACCTATAAAACAACTTTTCACACACAAAGATATTAGAGATATTTAGTATTAATACTTCTTATAGAGTGAAAATAAAACTACAGGCAGTCAAGTTTAATTATCCAAAAACACCAGAGACCTGAAAAAACCTAACACGGTAACACTGATTCAATATTACTAACATTGTAGGAATGTATCAGAAGGGTTTGGACTCTATTCTACTTCTTTTCGAGAAGTACCAAAACCATCTAAGTATCTTTGACATATCTGAAAGAACACTAGGACCTATTTTCATCTGCTTTCCAAAGTGTTAACTGCCGTCAATGGCTACAGACCAAAGCTTCTATGTCTATTCTAATCCTAAATAAGATTCTAATTCATATATTCATTTTGAGCTTTTCACTCTCCTCGAGTCTGAAGATAATTTTCCTAAACTACACTACATCTCACTGCCTCTTTGGAGACGATGAGAACTAATTCAGAATTCATTGGGCTCTACCTGTAAAATACTTTTTTGGGGGAAAGGAGTTTCAATGTACTTTGAATGTATATTAAATAAATAAATTTCTTACCCTATTGTTGGGTTGATGTTCGGATCAAAACTGTCTTCCACAAACCGCCACACAATACTTGATTTACCTACACCTGTATCCTGAAAGAGAACGAGATGAGCGACAGGGAAAAAGTTAACTGCACAGATACCAAAAAAGAACATTGTGCCATATGTTCAGGGTTGCAGAAAAATCAAAGATGTGTCCGTTTTATACGTGGAGGGACACAAAAGCAGTTTTCATAAAAATTCACTGGAGTAATTAGAAGATTTCAAAACAGGTAATAACAGGGGAAAGGCTTTGCAGTTTTTAAGAGACTAGGACCTCTTTGAAAGACCCAAAGTCTCTGCCTCATGTGAAAAGTGACAAATACACTTGCTTTTAAAAAATACATAGTTTTAGCAAACTATGAATTCCAGGATTACTTCTGAAGAATCTCTGATGAACTCTAGCCCCACCCTATTTGAGGGGCATAAAAGAATAGTTACTGGAATTCTTTTTAATTTTTAAAGTAGAAACTCAGGAAGGAAACCATAGACCTCATAAAGCTTTGAAATGGCCAAACTGCCCTGACAAGACGGGATGGTGGGGATTCAAACTCATCTTTGGGGCCTATTGGTTTGAACGCCCCTCCTTTGAATGGAACTCTGCTAGAGGTGTCAGGAGTATCCCTCAAGTTCAAAACCGCCATGCAGGGACGAAAAGAGATTAACCCTGCTTGTAAAAGCTAAAGATCTATTACTGGTTTTACTTCGAGAGACTTGGCCAACTCCCAGCTAGTACCTTGGTGAGTTGGGAGCAAACTACTTTGGAGCGCTTCTCAACCTGGACGTGATGGAGAGCAGGGAGGGCTGCCTGGCCCCTGGGGTCGGGAAGAGCCCCAGGCTCCCAGGGCTAGGGCCTGTGTCCTTCCTGGCTCGGGCTCTCAGATGGGTGTAGTGAGGTGCCAGGACGGCCTGGGGGCCGGGGAAATGTCCGCGGGAGGCGTGAAGGGGTGGAGGGGCCGCGGGGCGCCTGGGTCCCCGCCCACTCAGCCTCCTGCCGCCCTCCCGGCCGGGCCCACTGCCACTTACCCCCAGCAGACACACTTTGAGTTCCCTCAGCGCCATGGCCCGGGAGCCAGGAGCACGGGCCCGCCTCCACCCTAAGTTGAGGAGAGAGAGGCCCGGCCCAGCACGAGCATCCCCGGCGCCGCAGCCGCACGGCCCGGCCCCAGCCGCGGGGCGCACAGAAGCGGCGGCCGCCCGTCCGCCGGTCGTCGGCCCGGCCTGTCCTTGCCAGCCGTCCGGAGTGGCTTCAGTAGACTGTTCGCCCCCCCGGCCTCCGGGGCGCCGTCGCCGCCGCCATCTTGGGACGCCGGCCGGGTCACCTGACCTCCCCGCCCACCTCGGCAGCCACCTTCGCCGCGAGGGTGGGGCGGCCGGCGCGAGAGGCCGGCGGCAGGGGCGGGGCCCGGAGCTGCGGGTCCCGCCCAGAAACCCCGCCCCCAAAGGCCCCGCTCCTTGCCTCCAAACCCATCCCAAGATGGCGGGTGAGTGGGGCTGGGCTTTGGGGGCGTCGGGTGGCTCCCTTCTCCCTCCCGGGGACGCTCGGGAAGCCGCAGGCCTTTGCCCGCCGCAGCCTCCCCCGCAGCTCTTGTGTGTCTCTTGGTTTTCAGAGATCCCCCTGTACTTTGTGGACTTGCAGGATGACTTAGACGACTGTAAGTAACAGTTGGGGCCGCCCCGCCTCTCCCTGGTTCCCCTCCCAGAATTGGGGGTGCACGAAGCGTGGGGCCGGGAGCCCAGGGCGTGCCCTGGAGTTGGAACCTCGACGGCCGCCCCCCCGCCTGCTGGGGCTTTGTGGCTGCCCTTCCTCACTGGGCGCTGAGACGTGGCGCGCTCCCTTGCGGGGTAGGACTGGTGCGGTTCTTGGGAACCTCGGACTCCCCGTCACTTTCTCTTCCTGGCTCCGCCGGCTGCTCCCGGAGGGTGAGCCCCGCGTCTGGTGGCTGCCGCGGAGGAGGCGCGACCCACCTAGGGGAGGTGGCTCCCACCCTGGGGCTCGCCCGCCGCCGCTGTCCAGGGACTGGTAGGGGTGCGGAGCAGTTGGGAGGTCCGCTTCTCCGGGCGGCTGGGCGCGCTGTGCGCGGACTTCTCGAGGCCAGCTCAGCCCCTCGGCCCCTCCTTTCTTGGGTGGGTTTCTTCCCCTTTCCTCTTCCTGCCCTTCCCTTTTCTCTGGAGTCATCTCAAGGGCTGATACCTGAGGGAGATGTCATCCTGGCAGTACAAGCGCCTGTCTGTGGTGAATGAAGTATTTCCTCTGCGTTCAGCAAACATTTGAACACCTACTTTCCCGGGCCAGGCCATGATTTAGGGCTTACAAAGATGAATTAGAAACATATGCAGGTCACGGGAGACCAGAGATGTCACAAAAAATTACCAATCTAGGGGGGTTTTTTTTGGCTCGCGAAGAAGGCCTATAGGTATAACCAAAATAGCTAACGGTTATTTGGGGCTTCCTGTGTCCCAGTCAAGTGTGGTACCTCCGCTCATCTTTTCTTCCCCATTTGCAAGTTTCCTAATGGCGAGAGTTAGTGTTCACTGAAAAGTTAACATAGACAAGGGACTGTTAAACTTTTTACATTATCTCTTTTAAGAGCTTTATTAAAGTAGCATGACACTTGAAGGGGCAAGAGAAGTCAGTGGTTAAGTGTCTTGGTTCTGGAGTTAGATGACCAGGGGCTGAAATCCTGTGTCACTACTTACTAGTAGTGTGATCAGTCTAAGCCTCAGTGACCTCGTATGTAAAATGAGCCCAACAGCACACCTCAAAGAACTTTGTAAGAATTAAATGAATGAATAAAGGATATAACATGAAGCCTTGGCATAGTGAACACTCAGTAAGCAGATGCCATTAGTATTAATATGATCATTACTAATAAGTGTTTGACATTCTTGAGCCAGGTACAGTGTAGACCCAGTCATGGAGCTGAATGTTGCAGCCAGTGGCAGCCAATTTGCAGCCTCAAATTGAAGCAATGAACTGTTTCCCTTGTGTGTTAAGTTAAGCTGCAGTTAAGGTGCCTCATTTATAGATTTGATGTTTGGCCCAGCTGGAAAAGCTATTTCTAGCTGTTTAGGTTATCGAAACAACCCCAGCTCAGTGGCTTCAAAGCAACAGCATTTTATTTTTTCTTACAATTCTGTGGATTGACTGAATGATGTTCCTGCTTCATATAGTCTCAGCTGGGACTCTGGGAAGGTAGATGGTCCAAAAGGGTATCCTTTCTCTAGTGGCTCCAGTCCTGGAAATCTGTAGGACTAGAGGTGCCCTTTCCACTTGGCTTGATGGACCTTCTCATGACCTCGTGACCATAGGCATTGGAAGATTTTGCAGGCAGCTAGCTACCTTTTGGCATATTTACTTATTTGTGTGATGAAAAGGAAGAGATTATATAGTGGAAAAAGTACGATTTTTACTATGACCCTATTTGAACAAATATTGAGTATGTGGGACTTGTAATAAAAAAGTCTTAATACTCTTTCAGATGACTGAAGACTTTTCCTAATAAGGAAGAAAACTGTCATTAAGGATCATAACCATACCTTGAGTAGGACAACTCTGGAACCTCCTGGAGCTTCTGATTTGGGTTGGGCTGGGAGCTGTGGGGTGCTGCATCTTGCCACATTACAATATAGTTAATCTAGGAGCCATAATAAGAGCCCCCCCCCCCCCAATTTATGCTGCCTCAGGTTTTACCTTACACTTCACTGTGGTGGTATTTGGAGGCATTATCCACACTATGGTTGACATCAAGAACTGTGAAGTATTATCACCCACTTCTTGGCTCTGTGTTCGCTTGGGTGGATCATTCACCCATTCTGCCAATTTCTTTGTCTGGAAAATGGCATAAGAGTAGAAGCTGCATCATAGGATTGGCATTAGGATTAGATGGATAGTGTACAACCATTTTAGTTCACTGTCTGGCATTATCAGTGTGTATTATATTCAATATTTTATCTTCATCAGTGCTGCATTTTCATATAAAATTTTCTGGTTCAATGTCAACAGCTGCTACTCTGCAAGGTAGGGTAGAATGATAAAACTGAGAATCAGGTTAAATAATTTATCTAGTGTGGCACAGTTCATAAATGGTACAACTGACAAATTCTGTTGCTTCTGACGCTTGTTCTTTTTATTTCACTATGCAGGTCAACTTTACAAATACTCTTTTAAAATATATATATATATATATATATATATATATATATGTATTTTTTTTTTTTTTGTAGTTTTTTGAGATAGGGTCTTACTATGTAGTTCAGACTGGCCTTGGACTACTATGCAGTCCTGGCTGGCCTTGAACTCCCAGTGATGTTTCTGCCTCAGCATCCGGAGTGCTGGAATTATAGGTGTGTGCCACCACCCCTGGCTCTGTTCTGTTGTTTGTTTTTGTTTTGAGATGAGATCTTACTGTGTTGCCTAAGCTGGTCTCAAACTCCCAGATTTAAATGTCCCCTCTGCCCTGCCTTCAACCTCCTGAGTAGCTGGGACTACAGATGTGTACTACCAAACTTGGCTACACATATTCTTAACATAGTGTTTGGGGCATGGATGTCAGTTTGCGTGGTACTGTCTGTTGTCTCCTTGGGCATTTTTGTCTAAATGATGCAATACTTCTTGGTTTAGAATGCAAGTCCCTTTGGGCAGGGACACTGGTCATTCTTTTTATTATTCAATGTCCTGCATGATCTAGGTGCTCAGTTAATGTGGTTACTGTTAACAATAATGGATTCCTAGGCTTGTCTGATTTACTTTGTGCTTCTTGATTAAGTTTGGCTAATTTCAAAAAGAAGCTGTAACTAATGAGTGCCTTGTTTTTTAAATCATTCAGAGTCTTCAGGCCATTGCAGCAGAGAAAAGATTTAATTTTAGAGAATTAGCTTGTTAAATGAATCTAAATTCCTTCTCTTGAGAGCAGAAAGTATGGGGGATGGCTTGGGATATTAGTTTTCATACAGGACTGTATGTGGAAAGGGATCTCAGAGAGTCTGCCTAAGGATCTCCAGGTCTGTGAATGTCTGGGTTCACTTACAACAGATGGAAGCTGGAGAAACATTACTGTTGGTAAGGTTTGCTTGGCTAATTAGAATTTAAATGTATGCTAGTGATGGGTGAACAGAAAATGAGAAATCTATTGCCAGATATAATGAGACCAAAGAGACCTATCCACAAAATACAATATGTGATCGTATCTGGATCTTTAGTTGAGCAAATCAACTATAAAAAGACATTATTGGGACAATTAGGGAACATTGTACTTAGACTATTAGATAAGAATTATTAATTTTGCTAGATGTAATAATGGTGTCACTTTTTTTTCCAAAGGAAAAAGACTAACAGACAAACAAGCATTCATAAGTGAAATGATTTGATGTGTGAAGTCTGCTTTCAAATACTGCAACAAATAATAAATGAACAATAAATGATTCCTCTGGAAGAGGAATCAGTGGAAAAAATAGTGGAATGTTGATACTTCTGGAAGCTAATTCCTGGAGACTGTTCTCTATTTTTGCATATGTTTGAAAATTTCTGTAGTAGAAGGTTTTAAAAAAATGAGATGAAAGGGTCACATACAATCAAACATCCACAGGAGAGTTGGAAGGCTGGATTTCAATTCTCAAGTCATACAAAGTTATTTGTAAGGTGCATTAAGCTTCAAAAGACTGACTCAAAATACATTAGTATTTGGGGGACAGTATTTCTTTTCTAATGCTTAGTTTTCAAGAGATATCTCTGAAAGAACTTGGAAGAGGGCATACTTCTGTTTATGAAAAAGTGAGATACCAACAAATGATATCTGGACATTTAGTGAAAATAGGATTACCTATGCCAGTGAAATAGAGATAGAAGACATCTTCCAAAGCAAAAAGCATTCCATTTCACCTGCCTACTTTGTTCCATGTTTGTAAAAATGTTATTTTCAAGGACTGCAGCCATCTATGTGCTTCCAAGGCAGAGATACTATATTAATTTGAGTTCTAAACAAAGCCATTGAACTTTTTCTCTGAACAACATAACTTGAATCAAAGGTTATCAATTATGTGTATAAAAATCTCCTTGTCAAGTGAAATAATTTGAATAGGATTAGAAACTAGAATTCTGATTCTTAAGAAATAGAACAAAACTCTATTAAATTGTTCTCTGTATCACACTGTTTTCTAAATGAGAGATGGGTACTTTTTTTCTGTAAAGGATCAGATAGTAAATATTTTAGACTTTTCAGGCCAGAAGGTCTCAGGTGGAACCTCTCAGTTCTACAGTTACAGCCTGGAATCAGTTATAAACTACACATAAAAGAATGGGAATGGCCATGTGCTAGTAAAATGTAATTTACAAACAGGTGTTGGGTTGAATTTGGCCCACAGGTGGTGGTTTAAGGATCCCTGCTCTAAATCAAACTTGGTATCATTTCATTAGAGCAACACGTGTCCGTGAGCCACTGTCTTTGAATGATTCTGCTGAATAGGGTGTCTTTGTCCTAGGTTTAGTAAGTAGAGCTTAGCCGTGTGTGAAGACCACCCCTGTTTTATTGAATAATCCTTGACAAGTTGCACATACTTGATGTCTCATCTTTCCTGTGGTTGTTGAGGATAAAAAATTCTTTTAGTGGGAGGAGAAGGACAGGCAGCCAGCGTCAGAGTAGTGGAAGCAGAACAA